GGAAACATTTTTACGTGATGGAAGGTTGGCAAAGAAAGATGCACTGACTTTGTGTGGCGAATTTTCGTTCTGTGATTCTTTTATTTTTGGTCGGATTGGTAACCTGGCTCTTCAGGATATCACAAAGCATGCCTATGCCCAACCCCCTTATTGCTAAGCTATCGGAGAGACTGATAAATTCTCTGGAACTTCTGAGGAGCGGGCTACTCTCTGGATTGCCTAGAGTCCTCTCATGCAAGATGTTGGAAACGTTTTTCATTTTCACAGATGCCAGCTTCAGCAAGAAAGATGGTGGAGGTTTCGGCGCCTTCCTTGCGACTCAGGATGGTAGCTTCATTTCCTGGTTTGGACTTTATGTGGGAACCGAACGTTTTGCTACTCTGACTCGTTTGCAAATTCTCTGATTTGCCAAATGGTAGTGCAGCAGCTGGACGATTTTTACGTCCTCCCTTGGTACAGCCGTGTTCCTTCTGCATCAAATTTATCTGATTACCCTTCTAGAAAGATCCGACAACGTTTTCTACCAGATTCAAACTGCATTCCCGAAGGGGAAGTTGCACTTGTCTTCAACGAAAGCTTGGAGTACGTGGAAAGCCACACTAGCATGGGTGGGGACCGTGGCTTAACGAGGCCTGAATGATATCTCCACTGTGCTAGAAAAAAGAGTGAGTGCTGTGATACCTTTTTCAGTTGTGCATGTTCAGTTTGTTTCTGTCGCATGTCGGTTTCTCATTTCGAACGGGTTATGTTTTCGTTTCGTTGGCGCAAACTGTAGGGCCCCTGTTTTGTTTACGACGCAAGTTCTACATTTGAGCGCAAATGTGTAGGGCCCCTTTTTCTGTTGACGACGCAAGAGCACGGTTTTTGCGGAACGGTATGTTTGGATCAACGGTTTTATATAGCTTGGAATAAGTTGCGACTCAGCGTGCTGATGTAACCTTATTCCTTGCGGAAAGAAAAAGAAGCTGAGAGCAGCTTCTAGTTGATCCTTCTTCTCCCCGTTCCCTTCCCTTCTCTTGCGTTGTGCACTTTGCGTTTCCTCTCTTCCTCTTGCGTTGCGTCGCGGTGGAAACTTCTAATCTGAGGAAACTTCTGAGTTGGGGGATCACTTGAAGATTGTCTATCTGCTGTGCGTTTGAATGCAAACGCTCTCTGCAATCAGCTTGTGTGTTTTTATGTTACGACTCTTCAGTGAACTGTCTCCCCAACTCTGTTTCAGTTTTTCAGCTTGTTGTTTTTTGGTAAACATCTGCTGAATCTTTTTCACAAAGGTGTAGTTTGAACTAAATGCCAATGGTGGCCATTTCAAGTTCAATACCTCCAAAGGGAGGGTGGGAGGGTTCGACGTTTCTTACGTGATTCGTTTTTTTGTGCCCCCCGCCCCCCCCTACTTTTGTTTCAGACGTGCTTGTTGTCTGGCTATTCCAGACTCTTTGTCTTATCGCACGTGTGTATAGGCCCCTTAACGAGGCCTGAATGATATCTCCACTGTGCTAGAAAAAAGAGTGAGTGCTGTGATACCTTTTTCAGTTGTGCATGTTCAGTTTGTTTCTGTCGCATGTTGGTTTCTCATTTCGAACGGGTTATGTTTTCGTTTCGTTGGCGCAAACTGTAGGGCCCCTGTTTTGTTTACGACGCAAGTTCTACATTTGAGCGCAAATGTGTAGGGCCCCTTTTTCTGTTGACGACGCAAGAGCACGGTTTTTGCGGGACGGTATGTTTGGATCAACGGTTTTATATAGCTTGGAATAAGTTTCTCGGAAGTCTGGCGCGGCGCGTCTAGTTTTAGCTTCAGTTTTTATTTTCTGCACTTCCGAATCGTTTCTCATTTCAGCTGGCCAATCTCGTTTGTTTTCAGTTTCAGAGTTGCATGATTTCGGCGTTTTTCGTTTCAGTTTGACGTTTTGCAGATTTCAACGTTGGATGTTGCGAGAGATTGGAGATCGTTACTTGCATGACGACTTTCAGCTGACACGGACATGACATCAGAGATTCGAGATCGTTACTTGCATGACCACTTTCAGATTGCACAGGCGTGAGGTGAAGAGGTTTGCCTGGCTTTAACTCATGAATTCATTTCAGTGAGGGTCGATTCAATGATCATTTGTTCGGCAGATTTGGCTGAGCTCTCATTCTTAATTCTTTGTAGCCAGGGGCGCGTTGCACGCCCGTGGGGCCGCGAGCCATGGAAGATCTGTCACTGTTTCTGGGTGCATCTGCAGTGCAATTGATTTCAGATACATTTGGTGAACTCCGGCATTTTGATTCTGCTTTTGACACGTCAGAGGAGGCTAGTGATTTGCTTCGTACAATTCTGCCTTCTTCTACTAGTGAGGATTTCTTGCATCAGGCTAGTGAGTCGTTGATGACGTGGAAGGCTGCACATTCTTCATTGGTTAAACGACAACGCAGATTGCATCTGGAGAGGGTATCACAAACTTTGTTGGTGACAGGGGAGCCGGTTCCCACTAAGGCTGCACATGATTTTGAGAATATCATACGAAATGATCCGAAGGTGTTCCTGGAGATGGCCAAGAGGTCACAGAAGCGAAGGGTTGAATCTGCGCTTCCTGGCAGTAGAGCGGAGAAAGAGGACAAAGAGCGCCGTCGCTATGCATTGGAATTAGGTACTTTCCTCGAAGAGGCTTGCTTACCTGTTTCTTTGCAGATTGTGGAGCTGGAGAAGCCGGAGACAGCCTGGATACGGATTTGGGGCAGCCGTCGATCGAAGACGCTGCGCAATCGTTTCCGTGCTTGGTCCAGATTTAGGGCATGGATGATTGCGACCTACGGGTTGGTTTGGCCAAAGAACGTGACCCAGGTCATAAACTTTGTGGAGGAGCTCATTGACTTTGGCTGTCCCATCTCTTTTCCTGGAGAATTTGTGGCGGCGCTTACGCTGCTAGAACAGGTGGGCAAGGTGCTGGAGTCAAATCGTATTTCGAGCGATCCACTGTTGGGTGAACATCTGAAAAGCTGGAAGATGACATTGGTGAACAACAGTGGGGGACGTGGGCCAGCAAGGCCTTATACAACAGCAATTTTGATCGCATTGGAGCTCTTCACAAACAATTCGGAGATTGATGTTTATTTTCGTTTTGTCAGTTGGCTCATGCTTTTGGCACATTGGGCATCTTTGAGGGTGGATGATATACAGAACATACAGCCTGAGACGGTCAGGCTAAGCACCAGAGGGCTCAGCTTCAGACTCTCAAGGACCAAGACATCGGGTCCGGGCCGATTGCATGGAGCCATACATGGTTTTGTGGCAAGAGACATTTCGATCACAGGAGAAGACTGGATGACTTCTGGGATTCTTGCACTGCAACGCGATGACATGAAATTTCCTAGGGATTACTTGATCCCAGGACCGGCCAAGAGCTACTCCGGATTCATTCCGAAGGTGGTTGAGCCCCCGGAGCTTGCAAACTATTTTCGAATGGTGTTGTCCAGACTTCCAACGCCCAGATTCCATGACGGAAAGTGGATCTCCAATGAACAGCTCTGCTTGGTGCCGGAAACAACAAACTTGTTTTGGACAGGGCACAGTGCGAGGCATTTTGCCACGCAGGCTGCTGCAGCAATTGGGATTGGCAAGGAACGTCGAGACTATTTGGGACGTTGGGCCATAGGCCGTGTGGGGAGCGATGCGTATCTTCACACGTCCCGGCAAGTCGTCGAGAAGGTCCAACAGGAGATTCTGGCATCACTTCATGCAGAGGGGGGCTACAACGAAGACGAGCTCTTGGACGACTTCAAGGAGTTGGCAGAGAAGCAAGGCCTTGTGGGCTTTCGTGTACGAAGGAGGCACAAAGTGCTTCCGTTGAGCAAGTTGGAGCCTTGCTTGATGTTGGCTGAGGATTCAGATGACAGCTTGGCAGATGAGGATGTGTGCCAGAGGCGATTGGTGGCCGAGGGCCCGCCGGTGCTTGAGCCTCAGGTGGATTCATCTGGCAACATCCCTCAATACTATATCACCATCTCTCGGAGGAATGGCTTCCGACGATTGCACATGTCAGGAGCATGTCCCGTCCAGGCTTGGAAGTGCCAGGAGATGGAAGAGGTGCAAGACATCAAGCAGGCTGCCTTCGATGCAGTCTGCCTCAATTGCAAGAGGAAGATCCAGTCACAAGAGAACGCAGAAGAGGCCGATGAAGACAGCGATTCTGTGGGCGATTCGTCATCCACTGATTCAGACATCCCGGAGATGGAAGATGCCATCTAGCGGGTGAAATCTCCGCTGCATTAGGAGTCAGCTTTGCGTGAACATGCTGGGGGTCGGAAAAGAGATGCAACAGTCAGCATTCTCGGATCAGATGTTCTTTTTAGGGTTGACTCACATTTGAGATGGTAATTTTCTCGTTGGTTGGGTACTGCTTTGGGGGTTAAAAAGGGGCGACTTTTTAGCCCAAAAAGGGGGCTCCAAAAATAGGTCAAAAAGTCGCCTCCCCCAAAGTCCCAAACCAAACGGAAAATTACTAATTTGAGATCCTATCGGCATTTTGTGATTTGTGATTTGGTGATTAGGAGATTTCTCAGTTTGGAACGCTTTCAAGAATTTCGGGAAAGTTGAAGCGTCGAATCAGTTTGAGGCTGATAGGTAAGTCAGGTTCAGCTTGAGATTCAGTTTCAGAGAAGAGGATTTTCAGATTCAGTCTCAGAGGTCACATTCGTGACAGATTCAGCCACACGTCAGGTGGACATTCAATGAACTCTCTGGAACTTTACATGCTCCAGCGGTCAGGATTTTCCTGAATTGAGTATACATTCAGTTTAGGCCCAGCTGCATTTTTAGACAACTTGAACATTGGAGTTTCAGCTTCTTTTCACGTGGATCTTCACGTTTGCATGTTTCCTTTTTTGATGGCCGACAATTTCCTTTTGTCAGAAAATTGAAGGTTTGATTGCAAATGTGTAGTATATGTGTTTGGATGGACTTTTACGAAACAGGTCCTTAGTAATCACATCTCTCAACTGCGAAGACTGTCCTGTGCGGAATCATGGCAGCGCTGGATGATGCGGCAAAACGTGAGTTCGTCACGGAGAATGCGGCGGCAGATCTGCAGTATGTGCTGGAGGACAGTTCAGTTCCTTTGGATCTACAGTACAGAGTTGTGAGACATTACAATTCACTCAAGATTTTCGCAGCTATGGGTGATACTGCAGGCGAAATCAGAACAGCAGCACAGGCAGATTTTGCACTGGATCCAGCTGCATCGGCCGAGGCAAGAGCAAACATGGCAAAGTTGGTGTCAGCATGGAACTTAGCAAAGGATCTGGCTGCAAAGGAAAAGGAATTATTTGCGGAGTCCAAGGTTTTGGGTGCTCCCCGCATTCTGCAACATTCAGAGCGGCAGGCAATGGTGAAAGCAGTTGAGAACTCATATGGGCGCTTGCAGGAATCGGAGGTGCCATCCAACGAATACATTGCTTTGAAACTGGAGGAGGTAGAGAATGGAGAACCGTCAGCTTCACCTCTGGATGAAATCGTTTCAAAGCAAGAGAAAAACACCTCGTCATTACAGACTTCACTGGACGCTTCTGGTCATTTGAGAGTTACGAAAATCAAAGGCAAAGGGAAGCTTCCCGAGACCACAGAAGATTACAGGCGCCTGTTGAAAATCGAGGGCGTGACATGGCTTTGCATGGCTGCCAAGTTGAAGAGCAAGGCATGGCTCCAGAATTTGACCCTCTCAGATTTCAACAAGTTTGTCGAATACATTCTGGGTGAGCGGGTCAATGGAATCAAGACCTCCATCAACGGGGTGACACAGCCACTGCGACCACCTTGGAGCATTGTGTTGGACTATGAATTTAAGTTGAGGAAGGAAGCCTTCAAGCTGGTGGTGCGTGGACAGTCATCGCTCAAGGAAGCCTTGGAGGCGGTGATCAAAGACTCAGAGCTCAAAGAGTCTTTCTTTGTCACACCCCTTACTCTGGCATCACATGAGCACATCTCGAAGTACCAGAGGACATCAGGAAAAGGCAACTCAGGGCAGAATCTTAGCTCTCCTGTTGGTGCTCATGGAAAGGGAAAATCATCCAAGGGCAAGAATTACAAGAAAGGAAAAGGCAAGTCTGGCTTCAAAGGGGACACAGCCCTGGTCTCACAAACGCCAGACGGAAGGGACATTTGCTATGCCTACAACGCCCAAGGGTGTGCCGGCAAGTGCGGCCGCGTTCATTGCTGCAGGGTTCGTGGATGCTTTGGTCAACACAGTGCCCGAGAACATCATTTGAACAAGAAGGAGAGGGGCAAATCACCAACAAAACCTGCAGCAGCGCCCCAGGAGTGACTACAGGTGGAGCACGACAGCACAGAGAAGAAAGATACAGTCTTCCGAGTTTTGTACCTTTTCTGCGGGAAACCGCACAAATCCGATTTGAGAGCTTGGTTGACACGTTTGGCGCCTGGGTTCAAGTGTACAGTGCATGTCAGGGAGGTTGACATCGCTCGAAGCAGCGAGGATGATTTGTCAGGCGAAGGGCTCTGGCAGAAGTTTTTCACAGAGGTTGGAGAGGGCAAATGGGATGCAGTTTTCTTGTCTCCACCCTGCAATACATTTAGCAGGGCAAGGCATTTATGGAAGAGATCACCGGGCCCACGCCCCATTCGTTCGAAGCATGGCATTATCCATATGGTTTCCTTTGGGTTTCAGCTGCCAACAAACAGACTCTGGGTGAACACAATTTCTTCATTTTTCAATGCAAACGGATGGCAACAACAGCCTTCAAAGCTGGGAAGATTTACTTGTGGGAACACCCAGAGGACTTGGGCAGAGTCAAAGACACGGACGATGTCCCTGGAAGCATCTGGCAATGGGATGAACTACGCACATTGCAACTGGAATCGGACGCAACAACATGGGCAATCTACCAATGCCATTTTGGCGCAGACACACCCAAGCCCACCCGGTTCTTGGGAAACATTGACAAGGAAATGCCCCACAGCGGGTGGCCAACTTTTGATGCAGAAGGTTTTTACTCTGGACCTTTGGGGGCTGGCTGTGGTCATCGGTTCCATGTGCGTAAGCTGATTGGAAAAACCAAAGGTGTTTGGAACACCTCTCCATCAGCAGCTTATCCTTCAAAGCTCTGCAAGTACTTAGCCCAATTGCTCTTGTCTCGCTTCGTTGGGGGGCGGACAGTCCTCGACAAACCAGCGCTTTCAGCAGTGGATGGGCCATCTCAAGTACGGCCGGCTACTGAAGAGGAGGAAGATCAGGGCCATACAGAGGGGACAGAGGACAACATCTCACCCCTAGACGACGACAAGGTCAAGGAGGTTTCAGAAGACGTCCCATACAATGGGGGGTGCTCTGGACAACCTATCTCGTCTGACTGGGATTTGAAACGTGCTCGATTGGTGGATGGTCTGGGCCTCTGCTCACCCAACCGCTGGTGGCCTTCAGATCGTTTTGTTTTCCAGCAAACCTCTGCAGCTGGCTTGGCCGAAGATCTTCATGAATTGGTCCGGAGCTTTGTGATAAAGAACATCGCTGACTTGAGGCAGGCATCCTTTGAGCTTGCAGTTGGGAAGATGACTAAGTTTCCTTTCTCTAGTGAGGCCTTAGAGGAGGTGCGCAAACGTTGGGCACAATTGCTGTCACGGCCGGACAAGGCCCTCTTCAAGGCTGAGAGACAACCCTTTTTGCTGGAGCTTCTTTCTCAGACGTTACAAGGCTTAGGTGACCCAGACTGGCGGGTGCTCACAGAGCAGTTCGATTCCTTCTCGTCAGGGGTACCAGTGGGTTACGACCAACCTTTGCCCCGAGTGTCAGCCGTGTTTCCTCCCAAGGAGAGATTTCGAAAACTGGATGACTCCGTCTTCATGGAGGACTCGGTCAATTATAAGTCTGCAGACGGCATGTCACACAAGCTGGAGGAGAAGTTCAGGGAGGAGGAAGCTTTGGGTCGAATGTACCCTACAACCTTGGGGGCGTTGCAATCACGATTTGCTGGACAGAAGGTGCTGATAGCTCCGATGGGAGCCTTGGAGAAGCCGGATGGAGGTGTGAGACCTTTACATGATGCCACACACCATGTGCAAGTCAACAATGCAATTCAATTCCAAGATCAACTGGAGTACCCTGGCCCTGGCGATCCCGCAGCGGTGGTTGAGTCCTCTCGCTTGGTGCGGGAGTCTTGCTTTGGCTGACATTCAGGCAGCACACCGGTTAGTCAAGGTCCGTGAGAAAGACTGGAGGCTGCTTTGTTGCAGGGCCCACTCAGACTCACCGGTGGTGTGGGTCAACTGTGTGGGCACCTTTGGAGTCAGTTCCGCATCGTACTGGTGGACGCGGCTGTTTGCCTTGGTGGGCAGGTTGGTCACTTCAGTTTTGAGGCAGGCCCCTAACTTGCAGATTGTTTATGTGGACGACCTGCACATTTTGGTTTGGGGGCCTGACAAGTTTCTTTGGTTATGGATGATGATTGCTACCTATGAGATTGTGGGCACCCCCTTTGGATACCACAAGTTCAAAGGGGGACTGGAGATTCCTTTCATTGGTTACGAATTGGATTATTACCGAAAGACCATTGGCATATCTCTCAAGAGGGCACGTTGGCTGAGAGACTTCATGGGGGAGCTGGAGCAGAGGCGCTACACGGTGCCAATGAGGGACTTCAACGAATTTCTGGGGCGGCTGGGTTTTGTGGCAAGGATTCTGGTTTGGATCAAACCTCACCTGGCGCCACTTTACAGTTGGAGCGCTGCCTTGGATCGGGGCTGTGTGGCGACGATGCCCAAGATGGTCAGGTTGGTGATTCTTTATCTCCAGTCCCAGTTGGAGGTTTTGACAAGGCGGCTCAGCAGCTCAGCGCCTTTGAGGAGCCATCGAGAGGAATTCAGAATTGATGCAAAATGCGAAAGAGGCCGCATAGTTTTGGCGGGGCACCACTTGGTGGACCACGGTTTATTATAGAAGTGGCCCCCCATCAGGCCCCCTTCTTGTTTGACAAGGGCTTGGAATCTAGCTGGGCGTCAGCTTCAGCAGAGTTGCTGGCGTCTTTGGCAGCATTGCAGCTCTTTGGATATCTTGAAGACAAAGGGGTCAGACGCATCGTCACGGTAGCAGTCGCAGCAGGTACCGACAATCAGGCCAATGAAGCTCTGGCCAAGAAACGGTCGTCCACTGCTTGGCCACTCATGCTCATCAACATGCAGTTGTCACATCACCTTTTCAGATCATCATTGCAGTTGACATTGAATTGGCGGCCGCGCGATGAGAACCAGGACGCGGACGACCTAACGAACGGTCTGGTCGCCAAGTTCGATGCAAAGCTGCGGGTGTCAGGTGTTTTCGAAGATTTGTATCTTGAGCTGTTGGAACAGCTGTGGGCGGCACGGGAAGACTTCTTAGATAAAGAGGCACTTAAGACCTGGCCAGCCATATCAGATTCAGCCGCCAGCTTCAAGACTTCAGGAAAATGGTGATCGCCCAGTTTCGCTAAAGAGGGGCGGCTGGCATACTTCACAGGGCTATCCAGCTGAAGCCGGAAGGAAATTTTTGGAAGGACTTGGTGTCAGAGATTCGCACAGCAACCACCTGCGGAAAAAAGAGAGAGATGGCCGAACTCCTTCCGATGCAATTTCCGTCACTGCATGTTGGGTTGATTGTTTGTTGTTGTTTGGTTTTTGTGTTTGGTTTCTGTTTGGTTTTAGTTTCAGTTACGCGCGTTTGCGTAGGCCGCGTTTTTCACTGTGTTCTTGTGTCCCTCTTTCCCTGGCGGTCTCCCGTTTCCCTTCTTTAGTTTTAGTTTTAGTTCTTTGAGCGTTGGCTCATTCAGAGGCAGTCACATTAGAACAGGGTACTAAAGGTTCCCTTTGGTGACTGTTTGGTTGGGACTGCCTGGGGGGGAGGGTGGGTTGCTTGGACTCTTGCCCTGGCTTCCTTGCGAGGTTTCTCCAGGGTGCACTTCTCCTCCGGGTGTCTTGGTGTCTGTCTGTCGTGGGGGGGGCTTGCCCTTCTCTTCCTCTCGGTCGTCGTCTCCCGTGGTCTCCCGGTGTGGGGGTTGCTCCCTTGCGGAAGTTTCTTTTGTTTCGTTTCTCGGAAGTCTGGCGCGGCGCGTCTAGTTTTAGCTTCAGTTTTTATTTTCTGCACTTCCGAATCGTTTCTCATTTCAGCTGGCCAATCTCGTTTGTTTTCTGAGTTGCATGATTTTGGCGTTTTTCGTTTCAGTTTGACGTTTTGCAGATTTCAACGTTGGATGTTGCGAGAGATTGGAGATCGTTACTTGCATGACGACTTTCAGCTGACACGGACATGACATCAGAGATTCGAGATCGTTACTTGCATGACCACTTTCAGATTGCACAGGCGTGAGGTGAAGAGGTTTGCCTGGCTTTAACTCATGAATTCATTTCAGTGAGGGTCGATTCAATGATCATTTGTTCGGCAGATTTGGCTGAGCTCTCATTCTTAATTCTTTGTACCACTCCCTCCCTCCCAAAGAATTTCGGAGTTACTGCTTTTAGTTTCAGTCTCAGTTTCAGCTCTTTCTCCGCTGGGCAGTTCTTTTGGATCCAAATTTTTCATTCCTTTTCGGGTCTCCGTGACCTTCGGTCCTAGCACCAGTTGTGAGCCAGATGGCGCTGTCCGCGGAGGAGTTTTACTGGCTTTGCCATCTTTTCTGGAGCTTTATCAGGACCGATTTGCCCAGTGGATTTCGACCACGTCAACTTGAATGCCTTCGAGAGCACCTTCGTGCCGTCCTTCTCCACATCGGAGACAATCGCTCTACGACTTGGATTACCAATGTCTGGAAGGCGTTGACGGTGGTGTTGACAAGTCACCGCAGCGGACATGACATTCAGTCCTTACAAAATGTGCTGCTTATGACGGATATCACCGAGGCATCAATGGGCATCCCCCGTGGATCTTGGTCCTATTGGGCTCTGAGTTATTCACCAGATGCTGAACACCGCGGCAAGGTCAATGCAGAGTGTCGCAGGATTTTGGTGTCGATTAGCCGACACTTGCCCGAGGACGATTCACACGGGACCGGAGATCTTTTAGGAGAGATTGATTCTTTCCTGGGCAACGTATCCCTTGGACTACGTGCTTCTTCCATTGGGGAGCCTGAGGTTCGTTAAGGGCGGCAGTTGCTTTTTCATGGGCTTGTTCCATTCCGTGGCCACAGGATGGATGACTTTTTGATTTCGTTTGGTAGCCATGAATTTTGGCACCAACGGTGGGCGGCTGGCATACTTCACAGGGCTATCCAGCTGAAGCCGGAAGGAAATTTTTGGAAGGACTTGGTGTCAGAGATTCGCACAGCAACCACCTGCGGAAAAAAGAGAGAGATGGCCGAACTCCTTCCGATGCAATTTCCGTCACTGCATGTTGGGTTGATTGTTTGTTGTTGTTTGGTTTTTGTGTTTGGTTTCTGTTTGGTTTTAGTTTCAGTTACGCGCGTTTGCGTAGGCCGCGTTTTTCACTGTGTTCTTGTGTCCCTCTTTCCCTGGCGGTCTCCCGTTTCCCTTCTTTAGTTTTAGTTTTAGTTCTTTGAGCGTTGGCTCATTCAGAGGCAGTCACATTAGAACAGTGGCATTCAACTTCGATGTGAAGGTTTCTGAATTGACGTGGTTTACAAGATGAATATTTTTCATGGACTTTTTCACAGACGGAAATTTCAAGTTGGAAGCACAGGTGATTCAACGAGCACATTCAGCAATTATACGTTGCGTTTGCAATTTTGGCTGAGGGTTGGGAGAGGAGGGAATACCTCCAAATTTTGGGGGTGAATTTTTTGCCCCCCCCTCCACTCCCTTGGCAAAAACTGACTTTCTATCCTTCTTGTTCAATGTACAGCCTGGACTTAGCGGCTGGTTTGTCTGGAACGCATCAACATTGTGAATATTTTTCTCGGTGGTGGGCCTTTATTATTGATGCAGTGCAGTGGGTGCCCTTTTTGCTTCCTGTCACTGACCCTGGTTTATCGATCGGGGATGTCAGATTTACGTGGAGCGACTTGATGATTACAACTTGGAGTTTGGCGATTTACAGCTTGGAACTTGGATGGCGACGGAATGGTTGCCATAGCTTGATCGGGTCGATTTTCCCCCACGTCACCATGGGAAAAAGAATCGGAAGTGCGATTCAGCTGAAGCCGTTGTTTTGTCAATGTTTCAGATGTCGAAGTTTTTGACTTACTGCATTTGCACTTGGTTCAGTTTACGCGTATACATGGATTGCGCTCGCGTGTAGGTAGCATTTGAGGCCCTAAGGTTCAAAACAAGAGCGGCAGTCATAGGTTTTGCATTGAACATTTGCATATTCCTTTATTCCAGTGTTCCATTTGTGGTGATGTATTGTAGTTTGTTTGATTTCCGTTGAGATACATGCAACCAAAAAGAAAATTGAGGAACTCTGGAGTTTCCGAGTGGTTGTCGGCTACATGTAGGCAGTAAAATTGCAGGAAATGCTGATTGTTGATACGTATTGCGAAATAATGGTTATTTATTGTTGCGGACAATAATTTTATTTTCTATTTGTGAAAAAACATTGCGAAATATGGACTATTTAATCCGTATTTTTTTCATATAAAACAGACAGTGATTTTTATTCTATGTGTAAATGAAAATTTAGTTTTTATACTCTATGTGTACCCTCTAATCTGGATATTCTTAGTGCGTTCCCAAATAATTGAAATAATTCAAAAACCATAATCCAAAAAATTCAAATAATTTTTGAATATTCTAAGTGCTCGTCCGCCACAGTAGTTTTTTGTTATTTGTTTGCTGCAAAACATCGAGCAGTATTGCGCAACACGTGATTTACATATTGAGATCGAACGATTTTGAAACCTGCCGTTGTTCAAATTTCGTTGTGTTTGTGCGTAAATGCGTTTTTAGATTGTAATACAGTGAAACATGTTGTATGCATATAAAAACAAAATCCTATCAAAAAATGGTCGAGTCTTTTCGTGTCATGTGATTTTTTTTGTTTTCGGGGGTTTAGGGTTGTGTCGAAAGTTCCAAACCAATGAATTTGTTCACTGGAACCATGATCTTAAAAACAACCTGTGAAATCAATGTTCGTTTGTAAATGCGTTTGTTAGCAAATTTGCACTGATATTCCACTGTCGCGTTGCTTGGTTCAAGTTACATTTGACCAGATCGCTGAAAAAAAACATTGAACATCCAAAATTGTTCCACGTCAGCACCGACTTTCGACCAAACATGGTATCAAATTTCAAACCATTCCACACTTTCTTGGACCTAGCATCCACAAAAAACATCAATGAAACAATGTTGCATTTGAAACCCATACATGTGTTTCCAACCTCAAAAACAAAATGAAATTTCATCATTTTGGAAAAACATTTGCCGGATTGTGCATCCCTGTTGCGTTTCAATACATTGCAGCAACATCTGATGGGTTGTGGTTCGTCATCCAAAAAGGTATTGACCTTATCCGGTTGCATTTGGACATTTTCTGCAAGACATGTCGTGCACCCAAAAAATGTCGCACAAAAAAAAACAGTGCTATGTCAACGTCCAGTAGACACCGTTGTATATATAACTAGTACAGTTAATTGTGATGCTGTGTGTGCGTGTATTGTGTGCATGTTGTGTTTGAACATACCTTTGGCAAATAAACATACATGTGCTGTATACGATGCCTCCGTACACCTTGAAATAGCTACGTCCATGAGCAAATGCATTATGTTTTGGCCTTTCGGGAAGTGCTTCAGTGACAAAATATGAGTAAGACTGGTTGCTAGTGCATGTCAACATGCGTTTCACTTTTCGATAAGTGTTGCCAATCGTGTTTCTGGTACCATGTACCATTTCATGTTGCCAACCTCGAAAATAACAATTTTTAAACAGTGGAGTTGCGGCAACTAGTTATTTTTTATTTGAATTTGTTTTGTCTATGGATTGGACGCAAACCTCAACAGGTTATTGCTCGAAATGAAACGGTCATGTTCAATCATACCATACGACACGCATCAAAACATTTGAACGCCGGATAAACAAAGAAGTGTCGAATCTTTGAGATCTGTGAGGTCGTATTGAAGGACGGCGTTGTTCCAACAGATTCACAGGCCAGGTCACCGAAAAATGTGCCCAAAAAAATGTTTGTTCGCCAATGAATGGCAAATCCATTTACTGTAGATGGTGTTTCACAGCGGGCTGAGCTGAGCTGGTGGACTTTAAGGGTCTTCATTTTGACCAGTTTTGACCCATACCAATATTGTTTTTTGCTCCCACATTTCCACCGTGGTTCATACCACTGACGCTATTGTTTACGGCATTGATTCAGATTCGCCCAAGTGAAAAACATGCCTCAACTCAACACCATGCACATTGGTACAAGGATACACTAACTGGTATTCACTTTGTCATGTCATGTAAGCTCCTGTCATTCGTGTTCTGCAACTCCATTCGTGAACATTGACATTTGGTGATTGCCGCTAGGCGGAAGGCACGGGTGACGTGGCCCAGACCATCGGGTCCGGTGAACCAGCTGAAGGATCTATGGCAGTTTCAAAGGACCTCAACAGACCCGACAAAGTGGACAGGGACACCGGCATTACATGGGGACATTTTGCAAAGAAAAATGGGAATACTCGAATGTACCAAGCAAATTGGGGATACCAACCAACAATACAATGGTTGTTTGCAAATATCCGGCTGTAGATGTCTGAATGGTTGTGGAGTTGATGTCAGGACTGTGCCAGGGTGATGTTTTGTGGAATGGAAAAGAGGGGGTGGTTTCGTTCCAAAGGAAATACTTTAGGTGTCACAGGAAGAATCAGTCAATTGAATCCAAATTTTGTTTGATAAGGAGGGGGTCCTATTTAAATTTCCTTTTCTTCATTTTGAGGGAGCACAACTTTGCGTTTCCATTTAGACATAAATGATATAAATGATACAAATGATATAAATGATATAAATGATATAAATGATACAAATGACAAAATGATATAAATGATATATATAAATGATATAAATGATATAACTGATATAAATGATATAAATGATATAAATGATATAAATGATATAAATGATATAAATGATATAAATGATATAAATGATATAAATGATATAAGTGATATACATGATATAAATGATATAAATGCTATAAATGCTATAAATGCTATACATGCTATAAATGCTATAAAGGATATAACGGATATAAATGATATAAATGATATAAATGATATAAATGATATAAATGATATAAATGATATAAATGATATAAATGATATAATTGATATAATTGATATATATATATATGTGATATATATATATATATATGATATAAACGATATAAACGATATAAATGATATAAATGATATATATGATATAAATGATATAAATGATATAAATGATATAAACAATATAAATGATATAAATGATATAAATGATATAAATGATATAAATGATATAAATGATATAAGTGATATACATGATATAAATGATATAAATGCTATAAATGCTATAAATGCTATACATGCTATAAATGCTATTAAGGATATAAAGGATATAAATGATATAAATGATATAAATGATATAAATGATATAAATGATATAAATGATATAAATGATATAATTGATATATATATATATATATATGTGATATATATGATATAAACGATATAAACGATATAAACGATATAAATGATATATATGATATAAATGATATAAATGATATAAATGATATAAACAATATAAATGATATAAATGATATAAATGATATAAATGATATAAATGATATAAACGATATAAACGATATAAACGTTATAAACGATATACACGGTATACATGATATAAATGATATAAATGATATTAATTATATAAACGATATAAATGATATAAATGATATAAATGATATACATGATATAAACGGTATACATGATATAAATGATATAAATGATATTAATTATATAAATGATATAAATGATATAAATGATATAAATGATATACATGATATAAATGATATAAATGATATAAATGATATAAATGATATATATGATATAAATGATATAAATGATATAAATGATATAAACAATATAAATGATATAAATGATATAAATGATATAAATGATATAAATGATATAAACGATATAAACGATATAAACGATATAAACGTTATAGACGATATAAACGGTATACATGATATAAATGATATAAATGATATTAATTATATAAATGATGTAAATGATATAAATGATATAAATGATATAAGTGATATACATGATATAAATGACATAAATGATATAAATTGACAATAAGTGCGATCGTGATGCATCCTTGGAACTTCATGCTCAAGTAAATGCTGGCATTAGAGAACTTGTGGAGTTGGGTAAGTGTGGCTGGTGAGATTTCCAGGTTGACTTCTTGTCCCCTTCACTGCTCATCCTCGTGCCTCCCGTGGCTGATCACTGGTTTCTTGCTTGGACTTATCTCTGCTTTGCTTCTCCTTGGGGTTGGATTTGTCGTTTGGACTTTCCGTCTGGACTTGGTTCGTCCTGCTCCCTCTGCAGGCATTGTGAGGTTCCCACAAAGGTCCAGGCTGTCGCAGTACTTGAATGAGTGATTGCCCCTTGTCTGCCTCCGAGATCCGTTCCCTGATCACTAGGTTGACAGATTTAGAAGCTTGGGTGGCCTCTCGTGAGTCGTCAGCTCCATCCGGAGTTCAGCAAGGCTATAGGCAAGGAGGTGTAGCAGATCGAGGTCGGGTAGTGCCGCAGTCACAGAAACAGGTGACGGTTTTCCCTGGCATTCCCCAGCTTGCGTTTGGGTGGAAACTAGAAAAGGAGGCAGTGCCTGATTTCAAAGAAGCTTTTGGTGACTTGCCTGCTCGGTGTTTTGAAGGCCCTGGCCCGGTTCCTAATTGGCTTGAAGACCAAGCTGACTTCATCAGCTGGGATCCGAAAGAGGCAACTCAGAGGCTCCATTTGGCCTATTCATCAGGTTTCTTTGCCCGGATTGCCCTGGACACGTTTACTGAGTTTTCGGGTGGCGTGAAGGTGTCTGAGCCAGCTGAGCATTTTGTAGTGCTGCGTGCCACTGGATTGGGTGGCCGTATCTGTCAGGTTTGCCTCGGAGGCCGATTTCCTGACCTTCCAAGACAGAACGGGCTCATTTGGACTTGTGGCCCGGGGATTCGCAATGGAGACTGAGGTTAGTGTGTTTTGCTTTAGTGCAAGGATATCCGTGCCTTTTTTGTTTGCAAAATGTTGACCAGAGACAGAATCAAGCCAGCTGCAAAAGGGGACCCTACCTTGATGGTGATCACCCTGCCCAGCACAGTTTCACTGCTTGACGAACTTGATATGTATGCGTTGCCACCTGAGCTTAGACCAGGGGGGATGCTCCTGGCAGTTCCCGACCAAGTTCTTTCTGCACAGTGCATGGCATTAGGCCAGAATGGAGGCGATGAAGTTCTTTTTCGTCCGATTTCACGTTTTCATATTCCATTGGTGGAAGAAGCTGATGACCTCTCCATTGTCGATCTTGGAGTTGGTGCGGATGTTGTAGTGATTGATGTGACCGATGATGTTCTGGCCATTGCAAGGGAGTTTGATCCGGTGACAGATTCAACGGCTCCGATCCATGGTTTTTCCTTGGATTTTCCAAATAGCATGCCAGATGTGTCGCAGTTGCTCACCAATGTCAGGGATTGGCTTGTATCACGTCAAGATGAGAGGTCTGGTTTTTTCTCTGCTCAAGAAGACCAGGTCGAACCAAGGCCTCCAGAATCTGTCCCAGATGCCACGCCCAAAAAGGCGAATGCAAAGACGCGTGTAACAAACTCCATGATCGCAGAGCAGTTGAGCACTTTGGTCGCACAAATGCAGGTCTTGAGTCACCATGAGGATGTGCTCAGCAATCTACAACCGGTTCTGCAAAAGGTGTTGGAGATCAGGATCGTGGACCTTTGTTCAACGCTGCTCCCAAAAAGCTACCCGCAGTGGCTGCAGGCATCCAGAACCCGAGCGGCGTCTCACAAACAGCCGCTGCGAAAGCGCTGGCTATGTTGAGCCCTCCGCCCAAAACTACAAAAGGGGGAGCAGGCCTGTCGATGTTGGACTTCCAGACCCACTGTCGATGTTCTGCAACCAGGTGTGGAGGAGCCAGGCAACGTGGTGGCAGCGATAGCTCAGCAATCGACAGCAATCACAGCCTTGCACATCTGGCTTCGCAATCTCCGGACGCTCTTGGAGACCTGACAGGTCCCGCTTTGAGTTCCACGAAAGGTGTGCAAAGGCGAGAGAAGATGCAAAACGATCTGGCGATGGGCAACAGCAGCTACTTCCTGCAAGTGATGCAACAATTACACAGGAGGATGTGCCCGTCTCAGCCTGTGCCTCAAACCGAGGAAGCATTGGCGAGCCTGTCTGTCCTGACCTACCTGGAACGCTAAGGGGGATACAAACACAGCCGCGAACTAGGGCTTGTAGCGTGGATGTCGGGTCATACATTGGATTCGGCAGCCGGAGACATGAAACGAACGAAGGAGCTGTTAGCTTTGATGATGGTGTCTGTGAAACAGGCGGCGGTGGATCGGGGCGACTGGCGACTGGACCTTGGCCTACATGCTGACTTTGTTGGAGGAGCCTCCCAATCAGATGTTCCAGGAGAGGTCCCTGAACTTGGTGCCTCACTCAAAGCCATTTGGCCCGCTTCTCCCGCCGCAATGGACTGCTGTGTGTCTATCATACCTGAAAGATCTCGAGGTCCTATCCACCAAGAAAGGCGAAACCACCAAAAAGACTCCGAAAGCCGCATCAGCTCAGGAACCAGCTGCATCGACCGAACCAGATGCAGAGGGGTCCGCGCGCAGGAAGCTTCGCTTCCCCAAAAAACCGAAAGCCAAAGCTGCAGATGCATGAGGGGCCGTTCCCCACCTTGTGATCTTGTTCATGCCAAAGATGCCGAGCCTGATCATTTGGCCTTGATAGTAGAAAGGGGCCACATAATGAGAACCATAAAAAGGCCCGTAATAAAATTCCTAAAGACAATAAAGATGAGCAGCGCTTTGGTAGCACCAATGGATTTTCTCCCAGTGGATTTTCTGCAGGCGCAGCTGTGGACACCCTGAGTTTCAAGAAGTGGTGTGCATTATTGACAGTGTCTGTGTTGCGAACACGAACTCCTTTTGCAAAATTCCTTCTTTCCACACTGCACTTGCCACGGCTCTTTAGTCTCGGCATCGCCAGCCTTACCCTTGCCGATACCGTTCCCTGGTGTTTTTGCAAGGATGCTTCCAGCTCTTTCATCAGCCAAGAGGTGTCGGATAAACTTCCGCAGGGCCCTGCATGTCGTCATCATGGCACTTAATGAGGTTTTGTCCCTTGCCAGACTCTGGGATGCACGAGGACTGCTCTATATCCATGAGGTTGATATCCAACTAGAAAGGAGGTTTGAACTTGTGACGGTTTTTAACTGCCTGAAAAATGCCACCACTGCCCGCCAAACAGGGGATAGACGGATAGACGTGGTAGAAATGCAGTTGAGATGCGTATCCAGGGACCTTCCTAAAT